CTAACCTCTCACAAACTGACCCAATAAGCTTTCATACCAAGCAGGCAGGTCACATATGATAAAAGGTTTCCCTGTCTGTAATGGTAAATAAGCTCACTTACAGCATACTGACCTTGGTCAGCTTTTTACTAACTATATCCACGGAGTTCAGACAACTCAAAACAAATCTCCAGGCACTCTGCTGTCTCACAGCAAGAATCAAAAAAGGGCAAACCCGCAATCAAAGTGCCGGTTGAGGTCCTCAGCGGGTGTTCGTGCCGGGCCCCCGCAGCGCCCTGAACAGAAGCCCCAGCAGGCGCTGTAGGCTTCCTGCCACCGGCGCAGGCAGGGATAAGCCATGGCCAGGAATAATAGCCCTGGCCAGATCAGCACAGCACTCAGCTACAAACAGGAGGTGAGCCATGGAGAAACTGCCCCAGCCCACATTTCTAAAAGGTGTGTGTTACCCAGAGGTGGGATGTCAGCTTACAGAGCAGCTGCACGTGCGCTAACACAATGCCATGCCCATACTATGTGGAGCTCCTGTGCAGCTTCTGCTTCCCATCCTCTTTTAGAAAATTCACCATGTCCACTAAAATTCTGAAATAAAAAGAAGAAAACCAGACAGAATAAACTGACATGTCAGATGGAGTATAGCTATCCCTGGAAAACAGAGCTCCATTTATTTAGATGGGGGTCAATAAAGTTACAAATCATGACAGGTGATATTTCAGCTTTTTAAAATAGAAAATGATCATCTCTCTTGATCAAGAAAATTAAAATATTGCCTGAACAGGCAAAATGAGCAGAACACTGCAAAATCAATAGAAACTTTCATCAAAGCCTATATTCTAAACTCTTAATACAGACGTAACCTTGGAAGAAAAATGATCCAGGTTCTTTATGTTAAACATATAGAAATACTATGAAACGTGCCAATTTACAATACCTAAGACTTCCTTCAAATCTGCAGCTTTCATTCCCATTGTTCATCAAGGCAAATACTGACACTAGTTAGATGCCAGCTGGACTGTGACCTTATAAAATGGATGCTGTGGAAAGATCTTTCTTCATTGCAGGCCCTGTGTTCCACTCGCTTGTTTAACACAATGTGTAAAACATATGCCAAGATTTCTATGCAAGCAAAAGTACAAACCATGCTTAAAACACACTGCTTTTCAAAATATTTTTTTTAAAATGATAGTTTTGACCATATGATAATGTTAGTTGCCTGACTGACAACTGCCTTCTGACACAACCTTGTCTAACAAACAGTTTAAAGTACTAAAATACTTCTTGCTCAGACAGAACTCCAGTTTAAAGCAAGTTCCAAAAGATAACAAGGGAAATTTTGGCACAAGTGAAGAGATTTGCAGGATATTGTCTAAGGGCTGATAGGGCCGATTTCAGAAGTGCATGTAAGAAATAATAAAAAAGAAAAAAAAAAAAAAGAAAGAAAATTAAAGAAAAAGGAGGGAGAAAGCAGGAGAGAAAATGAGAAAAGGAGAGAAAGAAAGGATGAAAGAGAAGGAAAGAAAATTTGAGAAAGAGAAAGAGAGTGGGAGAAAGAGGAGGGAAAGAAAGAGAGAAAGAGAGGAGAGAGGAGAAAGAAAAAAGAAAAAAAAAAAAGGAGAAGAGAATGGAAGAAAGGGAAAGGGGGAAGGGGAAGAAAAGAAAGGGAAAAAGCTCCTTTGCACCTTTGTATATGCACATACACACACATGCTGCAAGCTTTATCTACCTCTCTCCTGCATCTAGCTATCTAGCTTTATTAAACTTCCAGTGACCTATTTTGGGGAAAAAAAAAAATAATAATTGGAAAGAAGATGCCTTGTCCTGCCTCTCTGGTTTAGGGAGCCTGAAAAGGAATGAAATAAAGATCTGCCATACATAAAGGAGTCTGGCTCATGATCTGCTTACAGTAGTTTAATGAGCTATCCTGTCCAGATGAGCACAGTAGTTGCATGCTCTCAACGTTTCAAATATGTGAAGTGCTAAACTCAGTGCTAATCTAAACTCAGATTATGACAGGTTGTCAGAATTTTGGTTGCTACCCTAACAATCGTAGTAATCTGTGAGGTCACAGCAACTTGACCACAAGTGAGAGCTCCATTTGAAAACTTGTGTTCCTTCTCTCCACCATTAACTTCTTTTAAAAAAATGCTTTATTTAAAAAAAAAAAAAAAAAAAAAAAAAAGTTTATCATCAAGCTTCATACACTCTTGGTAGAAAAGCTCAGCTTGTACATGTATTTTACAAAATAATTAGTGTTTATTTCATTTTGCCCCTCCTTTCCACCTATTCTGTTAATTAAATTCCTCTTCCATCCCCCCACTGCCCAGTTTCTTTTCACCTTTTCTTCTCCAGCCCTGGGTACATCATTATTATTTGTGTCCCACCATTCTGATACACTTGTATGTATGTACTCAGTTACCTCTCTTCATTTCCTAACACCTAGATTTACTGTTCAGCTGCCTCTTTACTGTCTCCTTCAGATTTCCTTCTTTCTTTAAGTTGCTTTTGACTGTTCCTCCTTTCTTCTCCTCTTGTGTGTAGTTAAACAGAAACTTCCAAAAGCAGCAACTAAATTGTCTCATTTTTTTTACTCATTTTCAATTTCTTTTTCAGGTTTCCAAGGTTGCTCTGTGCTACATATCATAGGTGCAAAGTGACAATTCACTTTGCCAGTAGTCTACAGACCACAGTCTTGCAAGAACTGTGACACTTCTGACACAAAACATGTTAAATATCATTAACATTATTATATAAATTAAAAAATATATATAATCATTTTTTCACAACATGCAGTGAAACCTATCCAGTCCTTTTGAAAAATCCTTAGAACTGAAACAGTGTTTAAAAACTGTTTTTTAAAAGAGATACTCCAACTCTTTCATAATTCCTTTGTGTTTTTTTGTTGTTTGTTTTTTTGTTTTTGTAGTGTAAGTCATGGAGCTGAGTAAGATTTCTTCAGGGATGATATGGATTAATAATAGATGCAGAGGAAGAGCAGAGTTAGTGAATGCACTTACACCCTCCTAAGCCTCACTGGATGTGAAGTGTTTCTAAACAGCATATCTCGGAATGCTGACTTGACTCCATGGTCTAGATCTTCATATAAAAATGCAGATGGCAGAGGGAGGAGAGGGAAGGGGAGGAAAGGGAAAAGAGACAATTTCAAATCGTTTCCTATCTGCTCCATCTTTCTGTGAATCTTTTCAATAGTTTCTACAGAAATGTCATTAGATCAAGAATACAAAACTGTTCACAAAAAATACCTCTGCCTACAAAAGATTCAGAATATGAAGTTGTAGAACTTGTGTCCAAATTAATTTGTGTATACCATCTCAAAAGAGTGTCTATGAAATCCTCAGTCACAGTACTTATTAGTGGTACTAATTAGTACTTATTACTTAATAAGTGGTACTTATTAGTACTTATTATTGGTTTAAATGCAATTAAACTGCAATTTTAGAAGAAAAAGGAAGTGTTAACCATAAATAAGTATATAAGGGCATGGACAGAACAGAACCTATCTCTGTATAATGCTAGAATTTGTTTCTCAGAGTTTGAATATCTTAAATTTAGCAACTGCCACTTTGTATCAGCTCTGTGAACAGATCTATTTTTCTTGACTTCCAGTTTTTTGATACTGCATGAATGAAAAATATATAAGAAAAATGCAAGGCTGGAGGATGAACTGTTTTTCACATAACGGGAAGAGAGAAGGGGAATATAGCAAGAATGAAATCTCAGTTTTGGAAAGAAATTTTAGAACTGAAAGCACAAGTCAAAAATAACATTAGGTTCTTGAAGATATATATGAAAATAAACCACAGCAAGGAAGACCAGCCCATGGCCCAGTACAAATGAAGCTCTACTTGATATTATTACATAGATGCACGCAGTAGGCTTGATTGAAGTAGTAGAAGCCAAAAGAAGTCAGTCCACTGAAATCAGTGGGTTTCACCCAAGCCACTACATACATACAGTCTTTCTGACCCCTTTTGCTTCCATCCACACTGAGAATCTTCCCCATTTCACTGAACAGTACAGCCTCCTGTTTTTCTGATAATCTGTGTCTTTTCTTACCCCTCAAGATGTTTTTATTTATTTTTTTTTTAACTAGATGCACCTATGGATCTGACCTGCATTCTGAAAGAAAGCCTGCCTCAAACCAATAAAATTTATAGAGCTTCTGCACCCTTCCTGTAATGGGCAGGAGCAAAGCTCTCTGAGTATATTAGTGCTAATGGGAAGGCAATAGATTGAGTAGAGGCTCAGGAACTCTGGGACCATTAGAGTAATTGCAAGCAGTGAAAACACACACAGAGCTGAAAAAAATATGGCAAAATTATTTACTTTTGTTTATTTAAGCTGTGCATAGGGAATATGAAGCTTTTTCATTAAAGTATTTACAGCCTAAATATAGCATAAGACACATTCATCATCAAAGCACATTTCCAAATTTTATTATTTAGTGTTCAGACCTCACAGCTAGTCAGAATATCTCCTAACAGAACATTTTTAAAAACAAACTCTACAGTCATGGAACCTGCCATTGTTAAGTATTAACAATGTAGTAGTTACTATGTATTTAAGCATACAATTAAGTATACAATTAAGTATGTTTATGTTATGTGTAGTATGTTATGAAATAGTGCTTTAACATTTTTCTGGTCTACCCGTTACGCCGTTAACTGGAATTTCTATCAGTTCAGGATACTAACTACAAAGAATTAAACATCACCAGACTATGCTGGCCAAATGTTTGAGAGCAAGAAATCTCCCATTGCTTCAATTTCCTTCAAATACTTAATATTTTCCTTTGGGGAAGTAACTTATGTTTTATCATAATGATTTCTATTTGCTTCTGGAGCATGAGTCATGCTCTTCAATTACTTTGAGTTGATTGTGTAATTATTAGTGAGAATGGAGTTTGGCTAGTCTTTATTCATTTTTTTTTTTGGTTGTTTTTTTTTTTTTTTTTTTTTTTTTTTTTAATAAAAAAATCTACTTACCTTCAGGTGAAGTACCTGGCTTTTGAGAAAATGCAGAGCTTATTTTACTCTTCTTGCTGCCGTCACTGTTGACAGACAAGGTGGACTGAATTTTTCTGTGCATTTTTTCTGAAACAGGAGATGAAAGTTTTCTGTTGTCTGCAGATGCATGCTTGACCCCATTGTGAATTCCACTTCCATTACTCAGGCCCACATGGCCATTTTGTACTTTGCCACTTTCTTCCTCACCCCTTTCCAGTGCTGAAGCATTTGGCTGAGGCAAGCGTTGAGGTTGTGCTTAAAATGAAAGGGAAAGAAAGTGTTAATTAAAACTGTAAATTGATAACTGAACATTTCAGGCAAGACTGGGAATTCTTTGTTCTTACTGTTCTGAGAACAGTTTGAAAAGTTAACATCTTCCATCAAAACAAGAAAGCAAAAAATATCCCTAAATTAAAAATGATTACAATTAAATTATTAAATTTAACCATTATTAAATTATTATTATGTAATTAAAAAAATATATGCTGCATGTCTAGATGAGATGTAGAATCCACACTGCACTGTTTCATAGGTTTCTGAACTAGACAGAGAGAACAAGATAACCAATGGGAAGAAGTAAAAAGTCAGGAATGGGAGCAAAAAAAGTATTAAAACTGAGGTAAAGTTGGGCTAAAGAAAGCCAGATGAAGAATGGGAGGAAACACAAACAATAAGGAGAAAATTGTACAGAAAAGAAGATAGAGACTGCAGAAAGAGAAGTGAAACTACCAGTTAGCCAGTCTGCCAGTCTTCGGAAAATAACGAGAGTGACAAGTCTGAAAGGCTACCAGTATATTAGATATGAATAGGAGTATTCTGGTAACCAACACCAGATTGAGCTTAAACTCATGGATTGCTGGGAAGAACAAAAACAGTCACAATCTTCAAGAACCTTAAAAAACAAAACAAAAAAAAATACCACCACCAACAACAAAAAAACTAAGTTCTGAAACTAATTAAACTATAAAGATAGTAACACAAGATTTCATAATCATAAAGCATCAGACCAATCACATCTCCTAATCAAAACACTGTTATCTTGCTTGGACATAAAGAGGTTTTCAAGAAGGCCTATCTTTGACTATTTATAAATTTAATGTCAAGAAAAAAAAGCCGTCCTCCCTCTCCCAACTCCCCAGTTTTTCTTTAAGATTTTCACTGAACTCTCAGAGAGATTAGACAACACCAGTAGTAAAAGCAAACACTGTTCAGGACTGCAATTCATTATCTCTTTAAACAATTCATGTAAATTTTCTGATGATTTCACAGTATAGCTTTGTATGTATATTATATATATGTAGTATATTATTTTACATAAAATATACATTTTTAAAAGTGTAGGTAATTTTAGTTTCATTTAAAGGAAACAGCTACACTGTTCGCTTCAGATACACATGACTAAACTTTTGGACAAATACTAAAATACTACCAATAGCCACAAAGATGATCAAGGAGTTGGAGCACCTCTCCTACGAAGACAGGCTGAGGGCATTGGGGTTGTTCAGCCTAGAGAAGACAAGACTCTGGGGAGACCTTAAAGCAGCCTTCCAGTACCTAAAGGACGCCTGCTGTAAAGCTGTGGGTGGGACTCTTTGTCAGGGGGTGTAGTGATAAGCAGTAATGGTTTTAAACTGAAAGAGGGTAGATTTAGATTAGATATAAGGAAGAAATTCTTTACTATGAGGGTGGAAAGACACTGGAATAGGTTGCAGATGCCCTGGAGGTGTTCAAGACCAGGTTAGATGAAGCCCTGAGCAACCTGATCTAGTGGGAGGCGTCCTTGCCCATGACAAGGAGGTTGGAAGTGGGTGATTTTAAGGTCCCCTCCAACCCAAACCATTCTGGAATTCTATCAGGACACACAGACCAGTATGGTCTTTAAAAGGACTCCCAGTTCTGAATTTGCCTAATAAAGCCTCAACACTTCCCTTTTATCAAGGACACTGATATCATATACACATTGCTTCCTCCAACTATCATATACTTGTCCAGATTAAACTTTAGATTAATCTTAAACTAAATCTTGGTTTAAATAAAGGAAAGGAAAGGAAAGGAAAGGAAAGGAAAGGAAAGGAAAGGAAAGGAAAGGAAAGGAAAGGAAAGGAAAGGAAAGGAAAGGAAAGGAAAGGAAAGGAAAGGAAAGGAAAGGAAAGGAAAGGAAAGGAAAGGAAAGGAAAGGAAAGGAAAGGAAAGGAAAGGAAAGGAAAGGAAAGGAAAGGAAAGGAAAGGAAAGGAAAGGAAAGGAAAGGAAAGGAAAGGAAAGGGGAAAAAAGGAGGGGGGGATGTTGTTTGTTTTTATTTTCCATTTGACATTTTTAGTCAGAGCAAATAAGACTTTGAAAATATACCCTACACTGCACAAATCAGTCTAGGCCAAAGTAACACGAACTGTAAACCTACTTTATAAAAGTGAAAAGTTTCTGTTGCAGGTAAGAAGAGAAGGGCTAGAGGAACATTTATGCTATTAGACTCCCCAAAGATGCGGCAGTGACAAAGATTATTACATTCCATTGGCAACAGTAACTGCTCGTGAGCTTCCAGGCCAACAGAGCAGGAGTACAAAGGTATCCTTACACTTGAACTAACTTGACTACAAAAGTTTTCAATGGCAATACCAAAGCTGCTGTTCATTTCAGTTTTGCATTATTGCTTGAAAAATGTATGAGCAGAAGCATAGGCAAGGTACTTTCTTGCCTCTGGAATTCAATTCCAGCACATATTTGCTGTTTACATTTCCAGACTATCATGGGAGCCCCAAAACAAGTTTTATAGTTTTCTCTTGCCTAAAATAGGAGCAGACTCATTACCAGCATAAGTCTCTAAAGCTTCTAAACTGACAGTTATGATCTTTTTCAAGACAGATAAATTGGTGGTAGCATTTTGCACTTGTTTATGTATTTCTGGTGCTTTCAACAGCATAAAACCATTAGAGAGTGTCCAAAGGCAGGCTATAAAGACGGTGAAGGGTCCAGTGGGGAAGATGTATGAGGAGTGGCTGAGGTCCCTTGGTTTGTTCAGCCCAGAGCAGAGCAGGCTGAGGGGAGGCCTCATGGCGGCCTGCAGCTCTCTCAGGAGGGGAGCAGAGGGGCAGGCTCTGGGCTCTGCTCTCTGGGGACAGCAACAGGACCCAAGGGAATGGCATGGAGCTGGGACAGGGGAGGGTCAGGCTGGGGGTTAGGGAAAGGTTCTGCACCCAGAGGGTGGTCAGGCACTGGGACAGGCTCCTCAGGGCAGTGGTCATGGCACTCCTGCTGGAGTTCAAGAAGCATTTGGACAGTGCTCTTGGACATGTTGTCACCCATTGATTCTTGGGTAGCCCTTTTGGGGATCTGGAAGTTGGACTCAGTGATCCTTCCAGGTCCCTTCCAATTTAGGATATTCTATGATTCTATTCCATGAGAAATTATCCAAAATTCAATCTACAAAATTACAAGCTTTTTGTGTTTTTCTGTCAAATTGTGGGTGAATGGTAAGGCTTGGGGAATCTAAACAATTACTGTTTTTGCTTTTATTAGTATTTTTACGATGGTAGTGGGGGTTTTGTTTGCTTATTTTGGGGGGGGGGGGGGGGGGTAGGGTGTTAATAATAATCCTGTTCCCAAAGTACTCATGCTTCAGTCTTTCAGCATTACCATACAACTTTTTAGCTGACTGGCTTTACAGTATTCACATATGATATGCAGGTCAAATCAAAATGGAATAAAACCCCAAATGGATTAGTTATCTCAATTTAAATTTATTTTAACTTTATTGATAATTTTGCACTAGGGAGACTTGAATCTTATGGTTAAAACACACTTGAAACCAATTAGGAACCATATGACCGCATTCTAGCATAAAGAACAAAAGCAATTGACAGTTCCAAGATTAAGCTACAACCACTCAGTTTAAAACAGAAATATTTTTACCTTATTTTTTAAAGGTTGTGTATATCTTAAAAAAAAAAAAAGAAGTGTAATATGGGGAACGACACAATGCTTCTTAAAACATAGTGATACCCAGGGACTCTCACTCTCTCTTTAATGATCCACTGCTCTCATTCAGCTGTCTTTCTTTTTTCAAATCTTTACATATGTGACAGCTCTCAAAAGTAGACCATAGACCATCTGGCATTTTCAGAGGTGTAACTTGTGCAAATTCAGCTCTACTGGGAACACAATGCTATCTTCTGCCTGCGTTATAAAAGATACAATAGAATGTAGAACTTATGAGTTGTTTTGAATTATTCATTTTTTGCCTGTATATTCAAGAAATTTTACAAACTCTGCATTTTGTACTACATAATCACATGCGTTAAAGGTACAAAGAAACTTTTTGACACCTCTTTTCTACAGAAAGATGGCATTTTGTTTGATATGTGAACATTCAGCGCCTGTTATATCATTCTAAACAGGCCGTGTGCTGCTACAAAAGATCCCATTTTGCACTCTATGTATGAGCAAAAATTTTATTCTTGATATTCAGTAACTAATGCAATACACATCAAAATTTCAAATATGAGTTGTATGAACATTCAGCATCTTCAAATCAGTATGGCATTGGTCACTTACTGTATGCCAATGATTTTTAAAGAAATAAAAATCATTCCTCACACAACACAGAAATATTGTCAGTTTAAACATCCAGAATGAATAGTTTCAAATGTCCTAAGAAATGTGCTTTTTAGGTTAATATGTTTTTAATCTTTAGCAAAACCAGTACATTTAAGTCAATATTTTATATAGTACTAACACTAGTGGATTTTCAATAAGAATGATAAATATTGGATTAATGATTCAATAGATTGAATCTTTTTTGATAGAAAACTAGCAGATAATGTAGCTAGTAATAACTATACATGAATCTGCTGCCTGTGGAAAAGCAATAAAAAGCCAATATATTGCTATAGCATAAAATCTATTAGCATGTTTCACTGCTTCCTTGTCATTGGTTTCCTTGCAAAGTGGGCCTTAATACAGTAACTTCTGCTGTTATTTAACTGGCTTTACATAATAATTTAATTGTAATGTTACTATCTGGTGAATAAATATTCAAGTACTAAACACTTGCTATGATTCCGATGGTTTTAGATGAAGTTACTATGCACATTCTCCTTTGGACTGTAAAATCCATAGCACATATATATTCACACTGACAATACATGGTTTACACCTCTAGAAAATAACAGCTATTCTTATGAGAAAAGTCCTGATGTATGCATTTAACAGAAAAATGTATGTAAACACAGGGAAATACTCGACAAAAAGAGGACAGTT